GGAGTTTACATAGTTGGTTTGCGTCTAGAGTTTGGCGGGATACGCTCGTCTCGCCTTTGAATCTCGATAGGAGGTTTGCTGCTGCCTGTTCCGCTGTGACTGGGACTGCTACCGGTACGGCGCCTGAATAGTGGCGTCTAGTAGTCGTCCAGTTGTTGGCAGTGGGGACAGTAGAGATTTGTCGCCTCTTTTGTTTTGAGGGGGTTGATGTCGATAATGACCGGGTTGTCTTGGTGTTGTTTATGGGGCGTAGGAGACTCAGACAACTGTGTGCTGACTGTGATGCGATGGCTACCGTGACGTTCCGCTGCCGTGAAGCTATATACAGGGGTAGAGACATTGCTAGTTCAAGACCGTTCCCAATTGATTCGGTGTGTGTGTGTATTTACGTAGGTTGTACCGGACGAGGAGAATTGATTCGGACGGAATACTATGATCCAACTACTTGTAGACCTCGTTAGGTACATACAGTAGATCTCTGTATACCTGTCACGGTCCACGGAGGTTCACAGGGCGCGCGGTCACGGGGGCGGTTGTAATAGAATGGCTTCCCAATTCATACCCATTTAGACACAATACTATAAGATGCTTAATACTACCCATGAAACTGGGCTATACGAAAGTACCTGTCGTTGTTGATTGCTGTCGGACGGGTTTTAGCCTCGGATATGGCCCCGCGTCAACACGTTTTGGATCTAGGTCACGAGTGGGCCGTTGGGGCCGTTGGGGCCGATCGGATATAAGCATGCCGCTAAAGTCGGTATGGCAACCAATTGCGTTTTATCAAAACTTCACAACACTCCAGATTTCGATGGAAGAGGTGGCTTCAATCGTCCAGTCGTATCTTTCCATTTCTAGTAGGGTAAAAATCGCTATAGGCCGACGTGTTGAGCAATCAGCCCTTTCATGCAAGTTACGCCGACTGTGACATCCTTTGGCCCGGCCGTCCACTATCCCATTCCTCCGAACAGAGGGGAAACGCTGGTCTTCAACTTGGCTTACTTCGGTTCTCTCGGCGCCACAAGACTGGGTAGAACAATAGGGTCACACAAGCACACACTAATTGCTCGGCGTATCGGCAGACGACGGGAGGTCTGATGTCGATGCGGCAGCCGCAGCATCTACAGCCTTTTGCGCGTTCTTCTGTTCCTTCTTTTTCTGTTTTGCGGCCTTCTTTGCAGCGGCCTTCTCAGCTTCGGCGGCCTTTTGCTTCTTCAACTCATCGCCACCGAAAGCCTCGCGCCATTCCTAAGGTCATCTGGTCAGCCTACTTGATCGACGGCAATCAATATGCACCATTTAATCAAACTTACCTCAGCGCGTGCAGCCGGAATTTGTGAAAATAGAAGAGTCGGCGTTCCGATCTTCTCTCCAGGCTCGAGCTAATGGGATACGCGGATTAGTAGCTGTCATACAATATGCTCGTCACACTTTTGGCTGCAATAAAGCCCCAAGGTGACAAGGCATTCAGAGGGAGCGTAGGTAAAGGAAAAATAGAGATTACTTACCGTATTTCCTGTCCATACATCAGGGATGGAGAATTTCCGCTTTTCCTCCGGAACACCCAGTTGCTCTAGGATTTTGCGTGCCGTCTCTGGCATAAACGGATAGAGCACGTTGGCAACGAGCAGAATGTGATTAAGCGCAAGGCCAACAACACCCGCGCAACGTTCAGGCTCCTCGCTCAACAGTTGGTCTATTCAAAGGTCAGTAAGCCCTTGACACTTGGACATAAACTGGTCCGGCAATGTGACAGTAAGTATGATCAATACGGATTGGACAAGATCAAGAAAAAGAAAAGAGAAGAAATAGTACGCACTGCTAAGCTTATTATCTTGCAGAAGCTTATTTCCTAAGGCCGAGATGCTGTAAGAGAGTAAAATTAGTATAGTGCCGCCTAGAGAGGATAGGTCTAAGGAAAACATACTTGAACATGGTACTGAGACCCTGCCGGAGTTTGATGGCTTCCATAGTAGACTATTTAAATCAGTCAGTCCAGTTTCAAGTCAATCGAAGGCGGTTCGGCAATGATCGATTCAGAAATAGGGCCTGTGGAAGCAACTGATAACCAAGTAAAAAGGGATGCATACTATGTAGTTCTGTAGCAGGGCATTCGTATCCGCCTTGTGCTGTTCAAACGAGGGGTTCGTATACTTCCGGTAATCGGGAATAGTAGCATCAAGCTTCGCATGAGTGAACTTGACTACTCTGTTTACAAGATTACCCAAGTTCTTGAGAAGATCATTGTTGTTCACATCAATGAATTCTCTATATAGGTTGATGGCGGTCAGCACCCTATACGATTCACGCATATGGGAGAAAAGGGTCACTCACCCCCACTTGAACTCGGAATCACTGGTTTCAGGCCGTCTCGAGAAGAGGAAGACCCTCCATACGTCGGGATCAATACCAGTAAGTCGAGCCGAGTTGCCAAAGACGCCGATTCCTCTGGATTTGCTGAATTTGCCACCTAGAAGGAGGTTAATATTAAATACTGCCCCGGTTGCTGATACTTATATGTACGTACCTTCGTAGTTCAAATACTCTGTGGTTGAGAAGCGGCTGACTTTAGTCCATTCTTCCTTGGTTCCAAGCTGCGAAGCCGGGAATATAATGGAGTGGAACGGGACGTTGTCTTTGCCCATCTGTAACAGATATTAATATTTGAGGTCAAGATTGACGATGCAGAGTATATCCACAACGGTATAGGAGCTTAACGGGTAACTTGGGAGGATCGTGTATCACATACAAACTGGTACAGGGTGACATCTTTGGGATTTTTCCACCACTTCGTCCAAAGGGTGCCTGATACAATATTAGTACGGCATGCAAAGATAAAGGGGTTCGAGAAAAGATGGAAGTTGCATACCCTCTAGGTTGTCGCCATCGGTGTAATTTTTTGTGATACTGGGATAACCAACTAAATTGAGTGTAAGTAACAAATTTTCAGGGAAACTTGGGCTGAACATGCAGATGAGTTAAAAACTTACTGCAAGCGTCAAACCATACATAGAAGACCTTATTACGGTATTCTTCATCAGATAGTCCAACAAGTCCGGTGGGTACTAAAGTCATTGTTAGCCAATCGTGTCCTGAATTCCCGTCCAACGTCTTGAGTACAACGTACTAGGAACACCCCACTTAAGATCGCGAGTGATGCCGCGAGCTTGCAATCCCCTGTCGATCCAACTTTGGGTAATAGCGATACAATTTGCGCTCCATAGCTCGCTCGTTTCATGAAACCAAGAGATGACATCATCTTTTAACAGGTCTAAGCGGAGGAACAGATGCTTTGTAGGCCGTGGTACTGGAGTGGCACCATCCACTTTGCACTTCGGGTTGATTAGCCATCCAGTAGCTTTCGATTCTTGAGGTTGTCCGACGACATCGTTCGCTTGTGCTTCGGGTTCGAGCGGATCTAGCAAGTTGCCACAGCCATCGCACTGGTCGCCACGAGCGTCTGATTCCTTGTGAGTCATGATATATGAGTAGGGGGTCTGGTGAAGGAAGACCAACCCATATAATGGCAGATACTGCATTCTCCTTCAACAAATCGATCGGCAAGGAATGACCTATGCGGAATCCCAGGTCAATAATTGCCCCTTCAAGGTTACGCTTCTACCGAGACAAGGAGAGACAACAACGCTAATATCCCTTGGAAGTTGACGGAAGAGCCTGGGCCACGTACTCGTGTTTGGGACAATACGGCTGAATTGTCTCGCGCTCCTCTATAAACCCATTTTCCCAGAGACGGGTGAAGATATCTTGTACAATAGCTAGGTTATATCGTATTAGTCTCCCGTATTATTAATTATACCCTTATTATCCTACCTGTATGCTGGGCTGTTGGGGTACGACCGAAGATGTCGAAGTCAATCCGGAACCAGTCGTAGATTTCCTTATGAATGGCATGGTATTTCGCACAGAGTTCGGCGGGAGATACTCCTTCGGAAAGAGCTTTCGTCTCGGTTGCGGTACCGTACTGTGTGATGTCGATGATTCAGCACGTCTATCCTGGTGTCATGAGTTGGCTCTGCAATAATCACCTCGTCGCTGCCACAAACGTAAAGCGTTCGAAGACCCCGAGAACGGGAGAAACGCGCAAAACAATCGGCCGACTGTAAGTCGCATTATTATCAGCATTTTGACCGCACGAGACCAGGTTACAAGGACAATTCGAAGCCCAGTGTACTCACAAGGACAGAGCCTATGATGTTGCCCAGGTGAGGAGCTATTTGCAGTTAGAGACTAGTTAATCGTATAGGATGCCGTAGCGCATGAATCCAGGAGTGCGCATAGCGAAAGCGGCTAAGTAGAGAAAACTAGAGCTAGGGGGTATCGCGGGGCGCGTACTGTTGTTGACGTAAGGCAAGGCGGACGTAATGAGAATGTTTCGCTTCCCGGGTTCGGGGAGGATTGGGCCTGTTGAACCCATTTTGGAAAGATCGGATGGTAAGGTTGAAGATGTCGGACGAGGCCGGTGCGTCCCCCGGTCGAGGACACGTATATAATATGCGTAGATATCTCGAGGTTGTGTCGGGCCGGACAATCGCAATGCTTCAGATAATAGAGAGGCTTTGCAGCGAGTAGAATGGTCTGGTTATCGAAGCTCGTGCGCAAGGGAAGCCAACGTCAACCTGTAAAACTTGATGTTTACGATCTTTAGTATGTGTTGAGTCAAAATTTGGTGGGGCACTGGGTTTAGAGAACTCCGTTGCGCTGAACCGCGTTTGACGTTGGGTTCGATAATAGGTGATGGAGGGGGAGGGGCAATCGGACTACGTACGTGGGGTTCTACGGTCCTCATAGGTGGTTTTAATACCAAATGCCAAGAGTGCGGCGAACTGGGCTTAGCGCATTCGGCGCTTTTGCTCAGGCTTGGCTCACCCTATTGTCTGTCATACCTAGGTGACTGATTGTTGATTAAATCAATTATATATGTACTCAGTGTGTTCAACTATATAATTCCTTATTTATGAATCATTTCACAAGACTTCAAAGGGCATGTGGTGTAATTGGTAACACACGTATCCACGGGGGATCTCTTTAACTGGCACCCGGAGTTGTTGGTTCGAATCCAACCATGTCCAACTTTTTTCTCTCCAGATTTCCTTTTAGGCCAATGTTTTTATGATCAAGCAATCAGATCAACTGACATTTATGGTTCCCTGGAATACAGGGGGTCTTGTGAGTCAAGAGTTTTGACTCGTAAATCGCCGTGCTGTCTGTCGTAAAGGCACCGTCTGTCCTAAGTCGGACTACCGAATAGGCCAGTTGACGTTCAGTTCCTTGCCTGCCTGGGACTTTACATGCCGCAAGACATGTGAGAATCCAACATGTATTAAGAAGTAAATTCGCCAATCCGGGCGCAACGTGTAGCTTAGATTCGGCATTTTGCTTTTTGCCCTGAGCCTTTAGGGCTTCTTACTACTTTGACGTCGTCTCTCGTCTTATTCTCATCATGAATCCGTATAAGTCAACCCCAGATAAAATACCCGAGAGTAATACTTAGATATACTGTACCCTTCTATGGTCAGTTCTATCCTAGGGCCAGGCCATATGACTTTCAAGTCGATCCCCCAACATATTGGCTCGCTCCCATACTCCAGAAGCGTTAAAGTATTGGTCGTCAGTTATTATTGATCTTTGTACTGAGTCCAACCGTACCTACCCGGCTGATGAGGGCGGTCGCGATGTATTCGCCGTGGGCGGTGTCATTGTCAAGTCCAAGCCATCTCCAAGGTCCTTTGAAACAGATTCACGCAAGCAAGGAGCGTAATGCCAGCTGCAAGTTAGGTACTGGGATAGACATTATTGCTACGTGATTGAGACAATAATAAATAAAAGTACACGACGGTCAGATCAGATAAACCAAAGCCTTATAAGCTAGTAAAAGACATTATCTCCTCCATTCCCTTATCCCCAGGGGGCACCGTCGTACCAACCAGCCTAACCTGTCAGCTAAGCCTCTAGTCAAACCACGCCCCCCGTCCTGTACATGCTACATGCCGCATCAGACCCGGAAGGGAAGAGCCACCTCGCCCGGCGCATGATAGGTGGGGACCTTCATATCGAGTGCTTCGCCAGAATATCCAAGGTCCTCGGCGACAAGCATAGCGCACTTCTCGCCAATAAGAAGAGCAGTCGAATAACTAAAATTATCAGCCGAATTAGTTCTTTTGTCATGGAATTGACGAGAGATATAATGCTTGGAAAATAGACTCACGTGTTGCAACCGACATTATCGGGACAGATACTGAGATCGGCAACCTTTAGACCCTTGACGTCATGGACGTTGAGGCGTTCGTCGAGCACGCCGTGCTTGACGATACTGTTTCCTTCCTTGGGCGCCATCGAGCAGGTCTATCGAGAGATGGGATTAGCTAGGTAGGCAACCTACAACCATGGAAAATATAGATAGATCAGGAGAAGGAGGAGGAAGGAAGGAAGGAAGGAAGGGGGGAGACAGGACTTACACCAAGGGAATGCCAAGTACTCTCGACATGTCGCTTAACCCATTCCTCAACAGCCTTGATATCTTCGGAGCTATACTTCAACTCCTCCCTAATATCCGCCTTATTGCTATTCAGGATATTGGCCTCCGGTCTCCTGGACGGGGCGGGATTATACATGCTCCAGCTACCGTGTTGCAGACCGGCCGTCAGATTTCCGGGAAGGGCGTAGCGCTTGGTGGTCTCGAGGTCCATGTCGTTGGCCCGAGCGGGAGAGTCGTGGGAGAAGAATGGATGCATGGCCTGGACCTCGCCGGCGTAAGCGTCCATGCGACGGGCCGTCTCTCGCGATTTGATGTACCCCCAGACCATGGGCGCCATGTCTCTCTCGTCGTTCATGAAGCCCGTGTCGAAGTCTGGGGCTTCGTACGGATCCGCCGATTTGATATGAGTGGATCCGCGGGAGAAGGGGTATTCTAGGAAATGGAACATGGTGAAGAAGTTTCCGGGCGGCCTGTACAACAAACGGATGAGCGACGCTTAGGTAGGTAGGTATAATACAATGAGGGAAGACTTACATGAGCATATGGTCGCCGAACCAGCCGGCAATGACCGAGTAATGCATCACTGGCTTATCGGGCTTGTCTTTGAAATATGACTTCCAGCCGTCGGTGAAGTGGGGAGTCGGCCAGGATTCGAATTCCTTGAGCTCGTCTGCTGTAGGTCTGATTTTGACGCCCGCTTCAATCCCGTTGGTGGAAAGCGGTCCGGTGCCCTTTAGATCCCACTGGTCAAATACCTCTGTTATATAGATTAGCAGGTTTCATGAACGAGGTTTGGGGTTCTCTTACTCTTCTGCACCTCTGGGACACCTCTGGCAAAATCATCGAAGCTCTCTGTCTCTGGCTTTGCGCGAAAGACGGAAAAGGTGAGGTAGTGATCCTGGAAGTTGAGGCCAACTCCGGGGAGGTTGACGATAGGTTCGACACCTGCCTTTCTCAGCTTCTCGGGGTCGCCTACAATGAGATTAGTAAAGTGTCAGGGAATTCACAGCCCGCATTCTTACCAATTCCAGATCTCTGTAGAATCAATGGAGACGACAAGGTGCCTCCAGAGACTACAATCTGTTTCCGAGCCCGGAAGGTCCTAGTCTTGAGTTGATTTGGATGTAGGGGCTTGGTAGGACTGCTCTACATTAGCGCCCAGACTCGGAATTATGCGTAGGTAGGTAAAAGGATAAAGATAACTTACACAGTCTGGACGGCCACAGCCCGACCATTCTCCATAATGATCTTGTCGACCTTGGTGTTACAGGCAAGGTAGAGATTATCGTGAACAGCACGAGTAGAGTGAACGTAAGCATGAGCGCTGTCGCTACGACGGCCGGTCTAGAGGACAAAGTCAGCAACTCGATACGATACGTCCTCCAACTATACTTATTAAGGGGTCTGTTCCATACATCACGATTGATCCATTTCATCCAGTGCTCGGCGCCATGGCCAGTAGTCAAGTCTTCCAGGTCATCGACTACGGGGATGTCCTGAGACTCGGCCGCGCGCAAGAAGTCGTCCTTGATAGGGTACGTGCTATATAAAGTTAGTTACAGTACTCCCATGAAGTTCATAAGCGTCTTACTAGTTTCCGAACGAGACTTTGATGGGTCCCTCGAATCCATGAACGTCCCTAACACAGTTAGTCATCTCGACATCTCGCCAATGAGGGAGCTTCCCTACTTATTGTGGCAGGCCCTTTGGTAGGTCTCATGCTTCTTCATGAGAGGCAAAAGCTCCTTGGTGGTCCAACCTTTGGCCTGAAAATCATCATAATCCGAAGCCGAAGCTCGAGTGTACATCTATAACACGACATCAGCTGGAAGGGAAGGATTAGGGGAGTAGAAGGCCCAAAATAAATACCAAAAAGTTAATCGAAGAGCCACCACCAAGGATATGGGCGCATGGGACGACGGCCTTTCTGCCAGCAAGCCATTTCGAAGGACGAGATTCATAGAACGATGCCGTCTTCGAGTCCAGCTTCATGTTACGTGGGTAGACACCCGGACGAAAGACCCAGGGGTTATTCAAGTTGCTCTCGCCAGCCTCGATTAAGAGCACCTTGAGGTTATGGTCCAAGTTGGCTAGCCTGTAGGTATAGGGGTTAACACCATAATCTGAAGGGAGGTGATCTAGGTTGACAAAGGAGTCTTACCGGCCCGCAATGACACACCCACAACTTCCACCTCCACAAACAATGATATCGAATTCATCTGGTAGTGGACTCATGATTGGACTTGTTTACTTGGTTGTTGTGCTTCTGCTTGGTTTTTGACCTACGGAAGAGTAACAAAGGGGTCAGACTCGAGGGTGAAGCCCCCTTATTTATGTTCCACCAAAGCAGGGGGTTTCATTGTAACCATATTCACCCACGCGAGAGGGGAAGACAGCCAAGGTGAATCCCCTCCCTTGGAATATCCCGTATGAAACCGCCAATGGCAACCTTACTCATAGTCTGGGCTATAGTAGACACGTACTAGCATCATTATAGCCGCCCTCAACCCCTCATTGACATGGAGAGCCTGCTCATCAAGAGTATCATCTGATACATATGTGATGCAACATGCCGCGATATTCCCTTGCCTAAGACGGCCTATGACATGGCCTAGGTCGTATCCCCAGGGAGATGAGAAAACCGGCGCCTTCGATAGAGCCTTTGTATCATGTTAGTGCACCCAACTCTTTGCTTAGTCGAATGTGTTCTGTAGGAAAAGGTAAGCCTGACGATGGCAAGACGTCTAACCTAGCCCACTCTTTCTAGGCGCATACTAGGTACGCAATAAAGAATGGCCTCGACACGATCTTTGATCGTTTCTAGCCGTGGCATCTCGGTGAGGTCTCGGGATTTATCTTAGCTTTAAGCCGTCCCAACCCAAACCCCTGCTGGCTGTCTTCTTTAGGAGGGCTAGACAGCATGTTGGAGAATCGATTGGTTGGTTGCATCCATGGCTGCAAAGAGCACCGGTTAGTATCCGCTGCCAGGGCTTAGCATTAAAGTTAACCTAGTGAAATGCGGGGGTGGAGACACAAGTTCGAGATCTATCGTAACAAGGACTAAGAACAACGAGAATATGTCCATCTCCATGTAGTGGCATATTACTATCTATAGATTACTAGGCCAGGGTGTGTAGGACTTGAACTCGGTTGCAACCCCCACCTTACCCGCAATGATGGAAGGCTTGTCCCCGGTCCGGCCGAGAGACGGGTATAACGTAAGTTTATCACTCCCGCCACTTAGAAAAGTGAACTTCGGAATCAAAAACAAGCGCAAAGTAGGCGGCGGAAGGACAAGATCTGTATCGGCAAGGTGTAATATCTTGCTGAGACCCTACCTAGGTAACGCATATACGAGACACTATGGGCCCCTCGACGAAGTTTCGTCCAAGGTCTACTCATAGGACCAATACAAGGGTAACGTCTCGATCAAGAAAAACTAGTCCAGATGCTACATATGAGCCGAATGGATGCTATCCGGTTCCTGTGACGAAGAGGGGGTCCGGAGCCATCCAATCCCCATGGGTTGCCGGATGAGGTCCGTGCTGTGAAAGACATAATTTGCCGGGGAGCCGGGCATATAGTGATGATGTT